GGAATCCCTCTCTTTTGGGTGTTGATTCGATTCATTCATGTACCCCTGTCGCTGGAAGCCTGCCAGGAGCCGCTCCTTGTCCATGCTCTTTCACACCGGCGATCACTCCTCGCCCCCGTCAGCTCCCGGGATGTTACATGCCCACCAGCTTCTGCCTGGTTCGTCTTCGAACCACACCGTACTGGAATAGAGGCCCTGCTCTGATACCATTTGTAATGCCCGGCAACTTGCAAGGATCAACGACTGTCCCCAGACACTAACACAAGACTTTTCAGCGTGCTTTGTCCTCACTCCCACACTTCCCAGGAAAAGTTCTCAGGAGGTCACCCATCCCAGAATTGCCCCAAGTCAAGCATGCTTAACTATGGAGTTCTTCCGTTCTAGGCTACCGACAAGTAGATGCATCTTGTTAGTATAGGTAGTACCAATTAATTCTTATAAGTTATTCCCATTTGTACCGTCCCATACCAGCACAGTCTCTGGCATCCCTCTCTTTTGGGTGTTGATTCGGTTCATTCATGTACCCCTGTCGCTGGAAGCCTGCGAGGAGCCGCTCCTTGTCCATGCTCTTTCGCACCGGCGATCACTCCTCGCCCTCGTCAGCTCTTGGGATGTTATATGCCCACCAGCTTCCGCTTGGTTCGTCCTCGAACCACACCGTACTGGAATAAAGGCCCTGCTCTGATACCATTTGTAACGCCTGGAAACTTGCAAGGATCAACGACTGTCCCCACACACTAACACAAGAATTTTCAGCGTGCTTTGTCCTCACTCACACACTTCTCGGGAAAAGTTCTCAAGAGGTCACCCATCCCAGAATGGCCCCAAGTCAAGCACGCTTAACTATGGAGTTCTTCCGTTCTAGGCTACCGAAAAGTAGATGCATCTTGTTAGTATAGGTAGTACCAATTAATTCTTATAAGTTATTGCTAACTGTATCGTCCCATACCAGCACAGTCTCTGGAATCCCTCTCTTTCGGGTGTTGATTCGATTCATTCATGTACCCCTGTCGCTGGAAGCCTGCCAAAAGTCGTTCCTTGTCCATTCCCTTTCGCGCCGACGATCACTCTCCGCCCTCGTCAGCGCTCGGAATGTTACATACTCACTGACCATATGAAAAATGTGAGCTATGTTAAGATGAATAATTGTAAGAAAGATCAAGCTTCCTACCAAATGACAATAAATGTAGGATTACTAAAAAGAGTATTATCATTAAAGTTGATCTTGACATTATTATCAAGTGGTGTTGAAGCAACTTTGCTATCAGTAATACCTGATCAAGAAAGAAGATCATAAACACATTCGACTTGAGAGAGTATATCCACAGAGACTGGTGAAACTTCAAGTCCCAAAAAAGAACTAAGTAACTCATGGTCCTTCATCTCTAATTATTTATTAAGGGCATGTTTAAGATATAAAATCCCAGTAAGATCATCTTTAATTAAAATCATATCATCAACATAGATATAACACAAATAATTCCTTGGGCAAAAGATTTAATGAAGAGTGTGTAATCATAATCACTTACAGTAAAACCTAGATGAGTCACTGCAATGCTAAAATTTGAATACCATGCCTGTGGAGTTTGCTTAAAATCTTTGGGAGCTCCATTAAGTTTGCAAACTTATTGAGGCTAGAAATAGGTTTCATGTAAACTTCTTCCTTAAGAGGTTCGGCCATTATGCTTCCAATTTTAAAGCTCCTTCAAGAAAGATTGAGGATAAAGAAAACTACGTGGAGGATAAAAGTCATGAAGAAGGAACTCTATTAGTGGTGCAAAAAGACAACATAGGAGAACAAGAGAATACACATATCTAGATTTGGGAGCGAGCAATCACAAGTGTGGAAAAAGATTCACGTTCGCGAAACTTAACAAATTAGTGGAAACAAATGTCTTGTTCGGAGATAAATCAAAGATATTGTGAAATAAAAAGGTAAAATTCTTATCTGATTAAAAGATGATAGGCACAAATTCGTTTTGAATGTTAATATATTCCCAACACGAAGAATAATATTTTGAGTTTGGGACAACTCTTAGAGAAATGGTATGATGTTTGCTTAAAAAATAAAATTCTTTCTTTAAGAGACAATCAAAGTAACTTGATTGCTAAAGTGCCTATGTCAAGAAGAATGTTTTTGCTAAAACATAACATCACAAAGTGTCTCAAAGCTTGCTACAAAGATGCAACTTGGCTATGGTATGTGCAATTTGAGCAACTCAACTTTGATGGTCTTGAATTGCTTCACAAGAAAGAGATGATGAAAGGATTGCCTTCCATCCATCAACCAGACCAAATATGTTAAGGATGCTTACAAAAGGGAAGTAATGTCAGAATATTTTTTAAGGGAGTCTTTATCAAGAGCGAATAAGCCACTATAGTTCATCCATACAGACGTATATTCACAATTGAAGCTAAGCTCTCTTGATAAGAATAATTACTTTCTTCTCTTCATAGACAACTTCTCAAAGAAGATATGGGTGTATTTTCTAAGAGGGGGGATATTATGACTAACAAAAAAATCCACTACTAACTCACTACCTATCTAATCACCATTGGATCAAAGAGGGAGAATGCTGAAAAGTTTCTAAAGAGAGAGAAAATTTTGATCTAATTGTGATTAGATAGGTAGTGGATTGGTAGTGAATTTTTTGATAATAAGAATATCCCCCCCTCATTTTCTAAAGCAAAAGTCTGAGGTGTTTAGAGTATTCAAAAAATTGAAGGCTAGTATAGAGAAAGAAAGTGGAAGTGAAATCAAGGGCATGGGATCCGATGGGGATGGATAGTTTACTTATAAAGAATTCCAAGAATTTTGTGAACATAATGGAATTTGAAAGCCTTTCATCGTTCCTAGAAGCTCGCAACAAAATAGAGTGGATGAAAGGAAGAATGAAATAACTCTCAACATGGCAAAGAGCATGTTCAAAAGTAAGAAGATGCCAAAGGAATTCTAGGCTGAAGCCATGACAACTGTTATCGATTTTTCAAACCATTGCCAATAAGAAGTGCATGTCAAAAGAGCCACAAGAAGTATGGAGTGAAAGAAAGCTCGGGATCTCTCATCTCAAAATATTTGAAGTATAGCCTACATATATATCCATGATGAGAGGAGGTCCAAGCTCGATGACAATAGTAAGAAGCTTATATTGATCGAGTATGATTCAAATTCTAAAGGTTATAAACTTTACAATCCTAACAAAGGAAAGACTATCATTTGTCGAGATATGGAAATGAAGAAGAATAATGGAATTGGGATCTACATAGTGAAGACTACAACTTCTTTGCCTACCTTAAGGAGGAAGAAGAGATAAATAACCAAGGATGGAACAAGAAAGAGATGAAACTATTACTCCCCCAACTTCACTGACCTCAAGTCATCAAGAAAAACCATTGTCAGCTAGAAGTTCAAGTGAAAGAGTACAACGCTTGAGGAGCTTCCATGAACTTTATGAGGTAACGAATAACCAAGGTAATCTCACTCTATTTTGCCTATTTGCTCACTATGAACTAGTTAGTTTTCAAGAAGTAATTCAAATAAGAAATTAAGAGAAGCAATGAATGAAGACATTAAGGCAACTGAGATGAATAGAAGATGGGAGCTAGCCACACTTTCAAAAGGGAACAAGGCAATTGGAGTGAAGTGGGTTTACAAAGTAAAAATAAAAGGAGAAGTTGAGAGAAACAACGCACGATTGGTGACAAAAGGCTACAGTCAACGACCTGGAATAGATTATGATAAGGTATTTGCTTTTGTTGCTCACTTAGAAACTATTAGACTAGTTATTTCTTCAGCAACCCAAAACAAGTGGAGCATTCATCAAATGAATATAAAGTCAACATTTTTGAATGGAGTTCTTAAACAGGTATACATTAAGCAACTAACTGGGTACAATTCAAAGGACAATTATTGAAGCTAAAGAAGGCACTCTATAGGCTAAAGCAAACACCAAAAGCTTGGATGTGTGCATGTCGAGAGGTACATACTTGATATTGAAGAGGCCGAGGGTAAAAGGTTTCTGAATCCAAACCCTTGTTAGGTAGTGTGGATTAATTAGGTCAAAGAACTTAATTAATTAAGTTGTGGAAAGAGAGAAGGTTCGCACCACAAAGCCATTCAACTTGTTCTTCAATGAATTCGGTAGTTAATTCTAGCATAAAGATATGGGTATTAAGTGTTGTGTTATACATCTAAGGTTGACGAGAGTCCCTGAATAAAATCACATGTTCTATTACTAATTAGGCATTAATAAAGCATTGTTATAGCACGATTACTTCCATTGCAGTGTTAAGGAAATTGATCATAACCTATCTTCCATATGTACACTTTTAATCTGAATTTTGTATTCTGTTTTAATTAGTTAGTTTTAGTTTTACTTGCCTTTTACTTTTAGAATCAATCATAAAAATCGATATTTTTTTATTACTTTGCATAATTTTGAACTTTATAAATTATCTCAATGGGAATGATATCTAAACTTACAATTCTATATTACATGTTGACAATATGCATTTACATAACAATATCCAATTTTAAAACCTTATTTCTATTTTTCTTATCTTATTTATTTATTGTATATTAATATTTAAATATACATTACTCAACATAATGCCCATTGAATTCTAATAACGTATATTTGCTGTAACAATGCATTAAGAAAAAAAAGTGTCATGAAACTATGTCACTTGCCTTGTATCTATGTATAAAATAAATAAATAAAAAATAAAATAAAATCAACTAAGCCATCTCTACACAATTGTAGATCACAGATCCAAGAGGGACATAAAAAGAGAATCCACAACCAAAAACAATAACAATAGGCAAAAATGTTTGACATTTTAAAAGATATAAAATTATGTCATTTTAAAAGAGAGAAAGAGATAAATAAAGGAGGAGAGAGTTAATAAAAAATAAATAAATGTGTGGATCTCACCTATCTTTGTGAGAATGAAAGAATATAAGTTATGTTATTTAAAAGAACGAGAGGATTATAACGTGATCATATCATAAGAGGCCTTTTCTCTTTTCGTCTTCGCCTCTTTTTAATATGATGCTCAAACTCGGGTTGCCACGGCAAAAGACGGGTTCGCCGGTCCACAAAGTTCCTCAACACCCGGTTCCTCAAACCCATATCCCTAACCTCACAAAACCGGTTTGACCAATCAGCCGGTTCGACCGCTTTGGTCCCCAAACCGGGCACTCTATCCTTGGACCCCACATTTTGCTCTTCCTGCCAATCCGCCACGTAAGTCGCAACTCTCCTATAGAATTTCTCCTTAAACACTTTCCACACCTGGTACTTATAGTGGTTAATCACCATCACACCATAATCCACATCAACGGCCACAAATGGTGCACTTAAATGAAAATGGTGCACCACGTTGATCAGGCTTTGATTTAATGCCTCAGGTCTTACTATGCTCTTGTGCCTCTCACGTGCCACCAGCCGACACGTGTACCCCACCATCACTCCTTGTCGCGGCACATCTTTCAAGCCCGAAGGCCCAAAACTGTAGCATGGTGTCCTTATCTCACCCACGTTGCTTCCGGGCCTGGCATGGTGCCAGATCACATGATGCAAGCCCCCTTTTATTTTAATGTTGAAAAACTCGTCCACGTCAAAAAACCCAACCCACTCGCATGAGGCCCGGGCCCGTAGGGCACAATGGGCAAACCCAGCCTCTTGGGTCTTGACCCAGGGCCACAGGTGCTGCGTGATGTTGTATCCAGCATTTTGCAGGAACTCAATCACATTATCTATGTCGTCATCGCTATTGTTGTCGTAGATGTACCAGCGTTGGACTCCGATTCTTGTGTGGTACATCACCCACTCTTTTATGAACCGGGCCTGGTTGCGAAGCATGGTGCACACACAAATCTCGTGGGCTTTTTTGTTTGTTGGGTTGTGTGAACGAAGCCCGGGCCTGGCTATAGAGGGAAATATTCCCTTCCCTTCTACTTGAACAGAGACTTTAACAAAATGGGCTTGGCCTTGGCCTTGGTCGGTTAAAATGCCCATGGGGGTTCTGCATCGTACAATCTCTTGGGCAACGGATACGACGTCGGTTTTCCACAAGAACTTTGGCTTAGTGAAATCCCAGCCGTACACGCATTGGAATCTAGACGGTTCAGCGAGTCTCTCGGGACGGAGATTGAGGCCCTTCACAAACACGATGGTGGTGTTGTCGCGGTCGAAGAGTGCTTCGTAGACCAGTGGGTCCCAGTTGTGGATTGATGAGTCTCTTGCCTGAACGGCACCGTTTGAACTAATTTGAAGCGATACATTGTAGCCACGTGGAGGGAGCGAGCACCGTACGATCTGTTCGTGGAGCCGAGCAGGGTGGACTTGAATCGGCGGCTCAGTGAGCTGAGGCCTGGACGAGTCAGCGCTGAAATAAACGCAGTGGAGGTCACGTTTGGTATAAAAGCGAAAAGACGGAGGGTAATTGAGGAAAATGAGAGCCTGATCCGGAAGCATAACTGTTTCCCTGACGGCGATTGTTGCCGGAGAGTAGCCGGATTTTGCTTCCATGGCCGGATTTCTCCATTTGTAGACGGCGTTTGGGTGAAAGGAGAAGGGACGAAGGGAGGAGAAGGTGAGGGTGGTGAAGAGGACGGAAGAGAAGACAATGAGGAGGGTGCACCAGAAGAACGTGCTCCATGCAACGACGCCGTTTCGTTTCCTACGATCTCTCATGAGAGAAGCATAAAAGTGGAGGAGAATAGTGTTCTTTGGGTTGCTTCATGTCATTCAGTTTAGATGAGCGTAGGGTATGATTTTCTTCCTTTCTTTCTTTCTTTTTCGGAAGAAGAAAGAAACAGAGGTAGCGGAAGGGAAAGAGAGTGAAAAACGGGAATTGAATGGAAGAGAAAGAGTTAGAGAGAGAGAGAGAAAGAGAATGTCTAATTTATGAACCTTCATTTACTTGTAGTTGAACCGAGTATGTCGGTTTGCATGCGGTCTTTAAATCCTGCATTGCTCGTCCTCTTCAACGTAAATTCGAAGGGCCACTTCCTCAATCACCACTAACATCCTCATGCCACTTCATTGTTTTATTTACTACTACTTATATGTATATTTATTTTCCTCCTGTCGATAATAATAGTTCTGTTATCTTTCTCTCACATAGCCCGAGACTCTATAGTTGTCAATTTTTTTTTTTCCCTTCATTTTTTTTGAAAGATTTATATTTTCCTGACATCAATTCAATACAGAATAAACCATTGGGAAGAGTGATCTCATCTTGGGACATTCTTGTTTGCCAATCCCATAAAATTGCATAATTTGCTTTCGCAAGGAAATGTGATCTGTAAATTACAGCAATTATATTTTTCTAGTATTTCCAATATTTGCAAGAAGCCAATTTCATGTGCTGGCCATTCTATCTCATCACAATCACTCAAATAGAGCTAATTAGTCAACTCGTTCATCCTTACTAAAGCTTGAACCATTTCTGGGATGCTACTTTTACAACTCTGCCATAATCTCTCAGGCAAATTACGTTTCATATTGATGAGATAAAGTTGGAACTGCCCAACACTTATCATATAGCTTTGCAATTTCACAAAATTGCCATTCTTCAAGGTCATGCTTCAGCAAAAACTATAAATCTAGTACTAAAAAGGTCCAATGTTACTATTAAAATGAATAAAGTACCCTTTCTTTGTGTGAAGCTTGTTGTATGGGAAAAGCACACATAAGTTGCCTTTTGTTACCTCAACTTCTGTTTCGTTCAATACTATGACTTGATATTCTCAGATATATAGGGGCCTTCTCCAATTCTTTTTTAAATGGTAATTGTTATTGCATTCACTTCATTGATGCTTACTCTAGACACACTTCGATTTTCTTGTTACACAAGTCTCAAGGTGAGGAACTGTTATTCATTTTTATGGTTGAGCACCAAATTGTAGCTAAGATTAAGCCTTTCAATCTGATTTGATTATGGTAAGAGTATACTCTTTTCACCAAATATCCTAATCATGGCATATTTCATCGCAATACTCTTGAACTAAATGGCTCGGCTGAAAGGAAGCATAGATATATCCCAAAATGGGATTGTCACTTTGATGTACCTATACCATTAAAATATGTGTACAAGAGGAAAAAGGGAAGAAAGAGCGACCAACAAGCAGCAAAAATAGGTAATGAAGTGGCTGAGGAGTTGGCTGTGAAAGTGAATGATGAGGTGGAGGTAAGAGATGAAATGGATGATGGGCTGGCTACACAAGAGCCTGATGAAGTGGCGGATGACCTGGAAAATAACAGCATGAGGGTGATCAAAGAGAGAGAGGGGAAGATGGTTAGCTCTAAATGGAGAATCAGTAGTGGGAGGAAGGCAAGGGAAGTAAGGGGATTTAGTTATATTGGAAAGGTGGGGAATGGTAGGGGGTATAGAATTTGTGTAAACCGGAAAAGGGGATTTGGATAGCTCTGCAAGGTGGGTCGTTCCTTGTAGAGAGGAGTGTCTTGAATTGTCTTTATCTTTGCTGGTTATTAGTGTCATTACGAGTATAATTACAAGGAGTCTATGTAGTAGTCAATTTGGTGAATCTGTATTGATGTTATTTGGATTAGAGTCATGGAGTCTGTTGCTGAATTGTCTCTTTTTCATTACTTGTGAGTCTGTGAATATTACTGCAAGGGCTAAGCTCTCATATTAATACAAAAATTACTGTTATACAATTTTGGTGCCATCAATTTGGTATCAAAGCTCTATTGATCTTGAGAAGCACTATATGGTAGTAACGAGAATGGAAGCGAGATTGGAGGACTTAGAAAGAGGAAGCATTCAAACAAATGAAAGGTTAGGGGGAATTGAAGAATCCCTTCGTCAATTGAACATGACGGTGTTGGAGCTCGTAGACCGAGTAAATGAAATGAGGACGGAGGATCGTGAGTCGAGGAATGGAGGTGGAAACAGAAATTGTAACTTGAACGACAATGGCAACAAGGATGGTGAAGAGGGGAATAGGGCCAACCGTGTGAGAGAAGAAGAACGTACGCGTAGAATAGAGGTGCCTTGTTTTAATGGTGATGATCCTTACGGATGGTTGTATCGTGCTGAACGCTATTTTCAGATAAATCACGTTGCGGTTGATGAGCAAGTAGAGACAACGGCGATTTGTTTGGAATGGAGAGCTCTCAATTGGTTTCAATGGTGGAAGAGCCATAATCCAACCATTACTTGGATCAGGTTTAGATCTGCAATTTTAGAGCGATTCCACAGTTCATCATCGGGGAATCCGTATGAAGCATTGATGTGCCTCAGACAAGAGGGGACAGTTGTTGAGTATAGATAGCTATTTGAGCTTCTGTCGGTGCCACGTCATTACACGGAAGAAAAAATGATGCAAGCTACCTTCCTTAATGGCCTGAAGGAAGAAATCATAGCTGAGGTGAGACTCCATGCTTTGACTGACTTTGATCGAATGATGACCTTGGCGCAGAGAGTGGAGGAGAATGAGAAGGTAAGGGAGTGGGTTGGGCTAATTGTTGGACGCTCCGAACATGGAAGCGGGTTTCACACTCGAACAACCTTTCCGAATCAGGCTTCATCCAACATTGATGTTAGGCTCATTACGGGTTAGAGCCCAAATGGAACAGAAGGACATAAGGGGAACGAGACCATGGGCTCTCGTAGCATAACCCAAAATGGAGGACAGGGACGTAATTTTGCTATGAATAATGCTGAAGAAAATTTAGGGGACTCTATTGCCTTATACGAAGGTAGCAACACTAATACAAGAAACCCTAATGCAATTGGGGGAGGAAGAGGGACCAGATAGAGACATCTCTCACCAGATGAGGTGGCTGAAAAAAGGCGGAAGAACTTGTGTTTTTGCTGCGATGTTCCATACTCACCTGACCATATTTGTCAGCAACCCAACCTGTCGGTGATAATGTTGGGTGTTGGGGAGACGATTCCCGAGGAAGAGGATATGAAAACGGCGAATGGAGATGACAGAGATGTAGAGCAAGGACCGTTACAACTCAGCGTCCATAGTATTGTGGGTTTGACATCACGGCGTTCTCTGAAAATATAAGGGGAAATCAGGGGCAGAAAGGCGATGATTTTGATTGATACAAGTGCATCCCACAACTTTCTGGATGGACACGTGGTTGAGGAATTAAATCTGGTCGCGGAAAGGTCAAAGGAGTATGCCGTAGAGGTGGGAGATGGGTATCGAGCAGTCAGTAAGGGGGTTTGTAGGAAGGTACTATTGAAATTACCAAGTATGACTATTGAACAAGTCTGTTAGTTATTTAACTTGGGAAGAGTTGATGTCATTCTGGGGTTTGCATGGTTAGAGGGGATTGGGGAAATTCAAGCAAGTTTCAAAAAATTGATCTTACGCTTTCAGTGGGAGGGGAGAATGGTCGAGTTACGTGGGGATCCCACATCTCGAAGGGAAGTGTTACTTTCAAGGGGTTGGGTAGAGCTTTGAGGAAAGGGGCTGAACGATTTTATGTTGAATTGAATTTATTGTCTGCTGAGGTTCATGATGAAGAGCACCCTCCTACTATTACACAAGTACTGAAGGAATATCAAGATGTGTTCAAAGTACCAATGAGTTTACCTCCAGTTAGGCACTGTGACCATCGTATTCTGCTGAAGGAGGGGGCTGCCATCCCTAATCTAATACCATACCGTTACCCCCATTACCAGAAGGAGGAAATCGAAAAATTTATAAAGGAGATGCTAGTCACTGGATGGATTAGATCGAGTACCATCCCTTTTTCAAGCCCTCTGGTGTTGGCGAAAAAATAATATGGAAGCTGGAGATTTTGCACAGACTTTAGGGCACTTAATCGAGTTACTCTACCAGATAAATTTCCCTTGCTAGTGGTAGATGAGTTACTGGATGAACTCAATGGAGCAGTGGTGTTTTCAAAGTTGGATCTTAAATCTGGTTACCACCAGATTAGGATTAGGACAAAGGACATTGAAAAAATGGCTTTCAGGACTCATAAAGGATACTATGAGTACCTGGTCGTGTCGGTTGGGCTGAAGAATGCACCATCAACTTTCCAATCCTTGATGAATGAAATATTCCGGCCTTTTCTTTGAAAATTTGTATTGGTTTTCTTCGATGACATTTTAATTTACAGCATAGATGAGCAAACACATGTCAGTCAATTAATTCAAGTTCTGGAAGTACTGAAGAAGCATCAATTATTTGCTAATTTAGTGTACTTTTATTAAGCATGATTTGTTATATTTGGGTCATGTTATTTCAGGTACTGGGGCAAAACCAGATCCGGAGAAAGTGGAAGCAATACAGAATTGGCCTGTACTATATAACTTGAAAGGGCTCAGAGGATTTTTGGGGCTGACTGGTTATTACCGACGATTTGTCAAAACCTATAGGATGATTGCTGGTCCTCTTACACAACTCTTGAAGAAGGACAAATTCAAATGGGGGAGCCAACTCAGCTCGCCTTTGAGAAGCTAAATGAGGTAATGTTGCAATTACCCGAGTTGTCTTTTCCAGATTTTGGTGAGGTATTCATTTTGGAGACAGATGTTTCTGGGTCATGTATGGGTGCTGTCCTCATGCAAAAGGGGTGTCCACTTGCTTTTTCTGGTCATGCTTTTCTGCTACAGCAAGGACTCTATCAGTTTATGAGAAGGAACTCAAAGCTATAGTATGTAGGGTGCAAAAATGGCGCCATTATTAGTTGGGGCATCATTT